GCCGCCCGCGCCGCGGGTGGGCAGTCACGGCGCGAGAATTATATGCATGAGCACTTGTTCGTCAGAGGGCACCAGAGGATTTTGTTCTTTCCTGGCTGCATGCTAAAGGCTGCTTTCCCTTCTGAACAGGCAGTGCTGTGTCCCCGGCATCTGCATCCCACAGATTTAATGCTGGAGCCCAAGCTTAGTGGGCAGCAGTACCGAGGACTCACACAATGCTCAGGACGGGACTAATCTTGCCCAAAGCTGCACATCAGGAGGTTTAATTTCACCCTGTGAGGAACCTCCGTGGAGAGACTCCTGCAAGCAAAAATGTGCATGGGCGTGCAGATCTGCAGAATTAAGGCTTTCATACGTGTTACAAACATACATCTGGGGGTCTTAATATTTATGAAGCACCTCAAATTCCCAAGGCATTTCACAGGTTATATATACAAAGAATACTGTCAGCCAGGTCCTGCTTTAGGAAAACATTTCCATTCGACACAGGGGCTTAATTATGCTCATAGAAGACCTGTTGAAAATAATGTCATTTTGGTACAAAATCAGTCATAAGTGCTTTTCTGAAGAAGGACGGAATATAACATTTACTTAAGTGCTTTCCTAAGTTCTGGCTTCAGTGAGGAGGGCCACGAAAATGATCAGGGGGATGGAACACCTCTCCTATGAAGAAAGGCTGAGAGAGTTGGGGTTGTTCAGCCTGGAGAAGAGAAGGCTCAAGGGAAACCTCACTGTGGCGCTTCAGTACTTAAAGGGGGCTTATATGAAAGATGGCGACAAACTTTTTAGCAGGGCCTGTTGCGACAGGACAAGGGGGAATGGTTTTAAACTGAAAGAGGGTAGATTTAGACTAGATATAAGGAAGAAATGTTTTACAATGAAGGTGTTTGAATACTGGAACATGTTGCCCAGAGAGGTGGTAGATGCCCCATCCCTGGAAACATTCAAGGTCAGGTTGGACGGGGCTCTGAGGAACCTGATCTAGTTGAAGATGTCCCTGCCCATGGCAGGGGGGGTTGGACTAGATGACCTTTAAAGGTCCCTTCCAACCCAAACTATTCTATGATTCTATGATGTGTAACCTGGCTTCGCACTCGTTATCGCTTAACAGTGCTCAGAGCTGTAGAACACCTGAGGACAGGGATGGAAAAACATCCTTCCTGGGCAAAACTGCAGGTAGAACTGGGAAAACAAAAGCAGAAAGACTCCTGATCCAGACCTGCTAGGACGCCTCTTTTGAGAGACCACAGTATGGCGATATGTAAAAACGTCTCACCCAGCCTAGCACCCTGCCTCTGCCAGTGGCCGCCTGTGGACCCCGAGGAACCACATCTAGTATGGGGTACTTGGGAAAAGAGCATGCACAGTGCGATCCCTCTCCAAAATCCTTCACTAACTCCTAGAAATATGGGCAGGGTCTCAGTTACCATCTATGTGATGCCCCTTTGAGCACAGCTCCCTTCAAAGATTTTGCTGGGCAAAGGACCCAAAAGTTCAGTATCAGCTGGGAATTTCACCTCCTGTCTTGCTTTTCCACAGACCTCGCTGTGCTGTGGGTGACTCCGCTATGGCAACAGATAATTGGTCAATCTATCCATTGAGATTAACTTAATTAAGTTTGTGAAATAAAATGAAGACTTTGCGACAGATCCTCTGAAACCCAAACAGTTCAGCCAGGAGTTTTTTGTCTGGGCTGCAATGGGCAGATGTTAAAGGATCACTGATAACTCAGACATCATGTTCGTGATGTTCCTGTGACATGTAGCACCCAGGCTCCAGCGCTAGAAAAGAAATTGTACCAGTGTGTGTACTTTCCACAGGGAGACCCGACTGTGTATAACGAGCTTCACTCT